CATGCTGTTTTGTGTGTCTCTTTGTATTGTACTTTTTTAGCATGCATTCCAGTTTGATATTATATTTTCTTTGTGACTTTTTAATCCTTTTTACAGTGTGCGTGACTATATATACTTTCCTCGAATTTTAATTTAGTTTCAGAGTTTTCGTCTTGAAATTCTTAGTTCCTGCATTGCGGTTTGTTCTTATGCCCTTTTTATATTTCTTTTTGCATCTTAAATTTCACTTGTAATTCAATCATTAAATGTTACTGTTTTTCTTTTCGGGCATTTCACTTTCTTGCAGTTGAATTTTGTTTTCAGTGGTCATTACATTTAAGTGTCTTGAATAAATAAGATAATAATGAAATACATGTATCACGAAGTTTGGGAATAAAGTGACAGGTGGCACCAAAATTTTTCACAGAGTTGAGATATGGGAAAAAGACTGGAAATAAATTATTTGTATCATATGTCCTGATGACAATTTTAAAGAAAACAAAAAAACTGCATAAATTGAAGAATTATTTCCTATGTTGTGATTGAGAGGTTATGTTGGCGGAGGGGGGCGATGACAACTTCCTCATTGGCTCAAGGGGGCGATTCCTTCAAAAAGGTTAAGAACCACTGTTCTAAGTAATCATAATTACATAATTACATGAGAAACTGGAAACTAACCGTGTAAATAGTGCCTGCATTTAAACAGAAATGGAATTGCAAGATCACATATGCTCTGATTTAAAATTAACTTCTATCTTACACTAAAGTGAAGAGGCAAATTTAATAGTCCTGTAATCAGGTTAGTTTTTGTGGGTTAGAATTGGAAAAATTGCACAACTTAACATTTACTCACTTTTTCTCTAATTAAAAGTGGGTGAGTTTTCAAAGGTTGGGGTAGTTAAGATTATGTATAGGACTTTGGCTTAATACATGTCTATACCTTTTCATCAAGGATACTGAAGATGACCCTGAACGTTCTCATCAAATGATCATGCTGCGAAAACTCTGCTTGCCAATGATGTGCTTCCTCCTTCATACAGTCTTGTACAGCACTGGCCAGTATCAGGAAGATTTAAGACTTGCCGACTTGATTGCCTCAGATAGGCACAAACTCTATATGGTAATGTCTATGGACATTGTCAGTCATTCAGGTCATGGTTGTCCCAAAGGTCCTTTTTTCACGAGGCAACTAAAACTTTTTTTTTCTTGAAGATGTTTCACTTCTTATCCCAGAAGTTTCTTCAATTCTGACTGGATGGTGGGAAATGGCAGGATTTAAACTCCTTGTAGACAGCTGGCCATTTGCATTCTTGTAGTGAGTCGTTCAAACCCCTGGAGACTTATCTGTGTCCTCAGGGTCACCTGAGTGGAGCAAATGGGTGTGGAGCCTTCTTGGAACTGTTGAAAGGATTGTGTTGTAGACTGGAGATGATGATAATGATGATGATGATGATGTTGGAAGGGACCTTGGAGGTCATATCCCTCCCCCTCTGTTGAGAGAGGGCTGTTCAGTTTTGACATAGATGGCCTCTTTGACCCCTGTTTCAAACCAGCGATCCTCTCTGTCCGGAATGTGGTCTTTGCTGTCTTCAAAAGAGTGGCCTTTGTCTTTTAAATGCAGATGGACTGCTGAATCTTCTTCTGATGGGTTTGTTCTCTTATGTTGTGGTATGCATTTATGAAGTGGTTGTTTTGTTCCCCAATATACAGATCTGCAAATGGCTCACTGCCTCATGAAAAAAGCACCTTTGGGTCTATATGGTAATATATTTGGGCTGCTTTTTAATGCTCTGCTTCTCTCTTTAATTGCACTGTCCATGGTATTGTGTAGAAAATTCCAAAGATGAGAGACAAACTATTAAAAAGTACAAATAAGCTAGCTTTTCCAATTTTTAATAAAATATGAAATATAATTAAGCATTTGAATAAAATAGGATATTGGTAGGCTAACCACAAAAATGAATTGAATTACCATGCTGGTTGTTACAGAATTCAGAGAATTAAGAAGCGGAATGAATACTTCATTAAAATAGTTTTCTCTTTGATCATCAGATTTCCAGGCAAAGAAGATTGGATATTTTATCTCAAATTGTAGTTAAACTTAACATTTTTATTTCCTATCCTACAGGTATTTTCCAAGGAGGAACTCCAGAAACTCTTACAGAAGTTGAGAGAATCTTCCCTCATGCTTCTGGATCAAGGTCTTGATCCTCTTGGATATGAAATTCAATTTTAATTGCATTGTTCTAAGTAATATAAATAAAATTAATAATACAAATGAATATAAGATTTCAATCACAGATTCTTGACCTCCATGAAATAAAGAACATTTGGATTCAACCTCCATTATGTGGAAATATTTGAATATTACATTGGCATTGGCACACAGCAGTTTGGATTTTTTTATATGTAAAATAAAGAATTGCATGGATAACACTTTGTATTTTTCTCAATAAAATTATAATAATTTTGTAATAAGGTTTATATTGCTTAAATGTAGGAAGTAGTTTGCATCCATAAACCTGCTAGATTGTGAAGTGGCTTATAGATGTAACAAGGAAGTAATACAGTTAGTCCTCAATCTAGAACTTGTTATTTAATAACCAGAGTTAACAGCAGCATCAGAAAAGTGCTGTACGGTCAATAAAACGCTTCTGGCCTTTATAAAACATCACATCATAGGGAGTCCTCAGTCATATGACCACATTTTGGGTGTTTGGCAAACATTTATGGCCAATTGCCCACAGCCTCACAAAGGATTTCCCCTCCAGCCCCACAAAGGATATACCCTTCAGCTGCAGGAACAGCCAAACAGTCCCCTGAAGGATTTTCCCTTCATGCATGGAAGGGAGGGGAATCCCTTCAGAAGCCTGCAGGAATGGAGCTGAAATCCTTCAATAAGCAGATTTTTCACCCCATCTGCTTAGCAACCCAGGTAACTTCTTAACAAGTACCAGGTTTGCAGTCATTGACAAAGCATGTTTGGTTGCTACAGTATAAAAAGGATACTAAGGAATTGGAAAGAGTGCAGATAACAGCAACAAAGATGACTTGAAGGCTAAATCCTATGAAGAGCAATTAAAAGAACTGAATATATTTAGCTTAAAGAATAGACCAAGGTGAGACATCATAACCATCTTCCAATATTTTGAGTGTTGTCACACGGAAAAGTGTAGATTTGTTTTCCATATGCCCAAGAGTAGGACAAGAACTGATAATCCCTGACATCATTCTTGTCACTCTTTAACTGACAGACCCAAACTGGCTGGTGGCAAGGTCTGATGGGTGAGTGGCAATTGGCTAATCTGAAACAACCCAAAATCTGAAATCCCTTAATGGTGAGTAACGAAGGTCAGGGGAGCTACTCAGATGCCTACTGGAGATGTAGGGCTTGCCAAAGAACACTGGCTGACACTGGATGAGCCACCTTCCTCCCTGGAGGAAGATGCCCTTGGGGATAGACTGCAGTGTAGAGCAGTGGTGCACTTTCCTCCCTGGTCTGAAGTTTCCTTGGTTCCCCCCCCCCCCTCCAGCAAAGTGGCAGGAAATTCCATGCATTAGAGCAGTGGTTCTTAACCTGGGAGATATTGCCCCCCACGGGGCAATTTCATTTTTCAGGGGGGCAATAGAACAAAAAGGAGCAACGGGGCAAAGGAACAAAAAGGGGGCAATGGAGCGAGAAGTGTTGGGGACACTTTTGAGACTTTTTCGTACAGTGAATCGCTGTATGTCGTACAAAAACATCAGATCGCTCGCTATTAGTGGATTGAGTTGTGTTTTCAAATGTTCCTCCGCTAGCATCAGTACAGAATGCCATACATATGTGAAGACGCATTGCTTATCTTCATGCGCATTGCGCAGCAGCCTCTCTACCCATACAGTGGCACGCCATTGGCCAGAATATGGGAGATATGGGGAAAAGACTGGAAATAAATTATTTGCATCAATATGTCCTGATGACAATTTTAAAGAAAACAAAGGAAGTGTTTGCATAAATTGAAGAATTGTTTCCTATGTTGTAATTGAGAGGTTATGTTGGGGGAGGGGGGAGATGACAACTTCCTCATTGGCTCAAGGGGGCAATTCGTTCAAAAAGGTTAAGAACCACTGCACTAGAGGAGGCTTCATAATGGTTTTGCTGAGGGTCATGAGGAGAGGGAAAACAGCTTATATTAAACAGGTAGTCTTCAAGTTAGACAATTGAGCCCAAAATTTCTGTTGCTAAGCAAGATTTATTGAGTTTTGCTTGTCAGAAAGTTGCAAAAGATGATCACATGACCCCAGGACACTGCAACTGTCATAAATCAGTCAATTGCCAAACATCTGAATTTTGATCATGTGATCACAGAATGCTATAACAGCCACAAGTGTGAAAAACGGTCATAAGTCACTTTTTTCAGTGCATTGTAACTTTGAAAGATCACTACGTGAACTTTTCTAAGTTGAGGACTACATGTATAGAATGTTCTCTGGCAACTTCCCAGAAATCAATGGGGATGCAAGCAGGAGGTGTGAACTCTTCTGAAGTCATGACAGCACCGAATGTCTCAGGAATTTAATTTAGCAAAGTTGTGGCTGGGGCCCATTACTCCCCTGGGATTGAAATTTGACAAACTCATTTCATTCCCTTCCAACTTCCCAAAGGAAAGTAATTGGGGAAGAAGTCACTCCTGCTCCTACTGCTTTTTTACTTGCCCAAGATTCTTTTTCTCCAGGTGAGGAAATATCTCTGAAAGGATTACCCAACGGGGATTGTTTTGTGTATTCATAAAGTCACCAGGAACTGAAGCGATTTTGCCTTTGTGCCATGTCTCTGAAATCGTGGGGATGATTCTTTCTGTATTCTGGCTGTGTTCGCACCATTCGTTCAGTCACAAAATATGTGTCAATTCAGCGCAAACGGAGATAGAAAAGCGATGATGGCTTCTACATCTACATTCCTAAATGGCCAGTTCCAGCCTTTTGGGACTTGCGCCGCTGCCTTTACAGTTAGTGGCTCCGAAAAACATCCTCTTTCCTACCTCATAGGCAGACTTCTCTCACCCGGCGCCGGGTTGGGCTGACCTCACCGTTCCCAAGTGCAAGGCGACCAGTGTCGAGACTGGCCTGCATTTGCCGGCAGCTCGCGCTGAGCCACGATGACATCAGCCAGTGCAACAATAGCCGGAGCCCAGAGCCGGCCCCGAGATGCTTTGAGACCCTTACCAGGTGGGTTTCTGCCGAGGAAGGACAGGCCTCTTGCAGCAGCGGAAGTTCCTGCGCCCGGGTCACGTGGGCGGGCAAAGAAGAGGCCGTGGCTACAGTTGTGCCAGCTGTTTGCCCGGGAGCGGTAGCTGCTTCTGCTGCTGCTCCCCAGGAAGTGGACGTGGAACTGGGAAGAGGTTCGAGCATGGAAGGGTGGCTTCCAGAGCGTGGACGGTTGGCGGCGGGGCTGCTAGTAAACTTGGTGGCGTCTATTTGCATCGTCTTCCTGAACAAGTGGCTGTACGTGCGAATGGGCTTCCCCAATCTCAGCCTCACGCTGGTGCACTTCGCCGTCACCTGGCTGGGGCTATATGTGTGCCAGTCGCTGGGCGTCTTCGTCCCGAAAAGCCTGCGGCCGCGCCAAATCCTCTCCCTAGCGCTCAGCTTCTGTGGCTTCGTGGTCTTCACCAACCTCTCTCTGCAGAACAATACGGTCGGCACTTACCAGCTGGCCAAGGCCATGACCACGCCGGTCATCGTGCTCATCCAGAGTGTGGCCTACGGCAAGACCTTTACCACCCGCATCAAGCTCACTTTGGTGAGAAGCAGGGCAGGGTGTGAGGGGAGGACGGGTGGGCAAAAGCCGAGGGCGGCCCTCGCTTGCGCATGCTGAGGGTTCCCAAAGTAATGGGCTGCAATCCTAGAGCAAGGAGAAATGCTGGAAGTGAAGTATTGCCAGAAATAGTGTGCACTGTAGACAGGATGGCTTTTTGGTTGGTATGAAGGTTGGTTAAAAATAATTGATTCAGTTAAATGCTTTCCCAGGTCTAATGCTCCTAGATTTGATGGATTAGAGTGTCTATAATTTCTAGATCGTATAGATGTGTCGAGTAGGGATTACGAAAGCCAACATGCCTAAAAAGTAAAGAATTGGTGAAGGCGGCTGTACTGCTGTGTCTTACATTAAAATATATATAAAAATGTAAAATAATGAATGTCCATAGTTGATTGTGGCTAACTATGTAGGGGCTTTGACTCAAAACTATAGAATGTAAACACCCCCTTTTCATCCTAAAATTTGAATATACCAGTATTTATCAGGTTCAATCACAAAACCAAAATAATATCTTTTTAAAAAATTGTCAGACAAGATGTTATGAAAAGCTAGGAATATAGCCTTTGCTAGCCTCCTTGTCTTGTTTATACTGGCTAGAGGCTGTAGAAATTCTAATCATTTAGAGACCAAAAAGTTTAGGAAGACTGTTTCAGAACTAAGAAATAATACTGGAATAGTTAAGCATCAAATGTTTCTTTTTTCTCTTTCACAGATTCCTATCACTTTAGGTGTTTTTTTAAATTCCTATTATGACATGAAATTTAGTTTTCTTGGGATGATATTTGCTGCTCTTGGTGTTATAGTGACATCTCTTTATCAAGTGGTAAGTTAAATATGTTTTTTAATGCAAACTTAGAACAATATTTTATGTAATCTATTCTGTATTTTTCAGTCTTTTGAGTAGGAAATATTTGTTGTACATAACTTTCTTATTTAAATATGTATTATTTAACTGTAAGAAAAACTATTTTCTGTTGGAAAGCAACAGGTAGCTCTATGCATAAATATATAAATTGTATTTGATATATGCATTCTTGAGTTCATCCCAATCTGGTGTCAAGTTGTTTTGGCTATGGCTTTAAAATATTTGAAGAGTTCATTGATGAAGAGTGGAGTTACCGGGTTTTAAAAAATATTGTAGGATTGTGTGATGATCTACATGGGTGAGAAACTGTTGCTTATTCTGTTCTGTACTCAACAATAAACTGCAATAAACTACATTGTAATAATGTCAAATATTTTATCTGTGAATAGCCTATTAACCATTTGAACAGTTTTGAACATCTTGATAATGGTTCACCCTAGTTTCAATAGAAAAGAATATATGTAGCTCAGGGATGAACTGTGGAGTCCTTGGTATTCTTTGAGTTTGGTTGTTTGCTTCCAGACATTTTGTTACCCTATTACAGTGATACGAACCAGACTGAGTGCCCAAAAACTGACCCCACCCTGCTCCACCTCCCTGGTCCGCCCCCGCTATGCCCTCCCATCCCCTGCCCCTCCTGCCCACAGGACCACTCACCGCCTCCAGGGCCCACCGCAGATTGCCCAGGCAGCCCAGCAGCGCTATGGCGGCCACACCCTCTGCCCGCGTCCTGCAGCATCAACTGCATGATGGGATGTGAGGGCAGAGTCTTGTCTACGCTACCTGGCTGCCATGTCCTTGGCTGTGCTGCTCCATGTGGGCCACGCTCGAGGGCGACTCTCCTTCAGGGAGAGGAGGGGGTCGTGGGGGGAGGCAAGGCTGGGGCAACGGCACATGTGCCCACAGACAGGGCTCCGAGTGCCGCCTCTGGCACCCATGCCATAGGTTCGCCACCACTGCCCTATTAGGTAACATCTTCAAGGTTGGGAGGGATTAGGATTTGCTCTCTGTTTGCTTGCCTGTCAGTGTTGATGGTGATTTTTTCTTGGTAATTCCTTGATTACGCTGTTGTTTACTACTTGATAGTTGTTAATTCCGTTTCATAGCTTGTGTTGGTTCTGTTGTAATGGTTGGGTAATTAGGCACTCATCCATATTTATATGCATTATTTTTCCCATAATTTTTGGGTGAGAGATAGATGATATTTCCTTTTTTTAGAATGGAAAGGGAGTTAAAAAGACTTCTCAAAGAGTAAGTGGAGGTTTTATCATTAAACATACATTTTAAATTGAGTTTCCTCAGAGCAATAAAAATAACTGATATTTTAAAGTTTAAAATGATATTTTCATTAAAGATAATTAAACAAAACAGTAAGTGATTGTTTTTAGAAGTCTTTACTTATTGTTGACTTTCTACTGACTTTGGGAGCAGTAAATCATTACAGGTAGTACCCATAGGCCCTCTGCTTTCTCCACGCAGCAACAGGCCAACAGCTTCCAATGCGAGCTTCAGGTTGATTGTCCAGGAGTGTGTCCAACATAAGCTGCAGGGCATGCACTGCACCTCTGGCAAGCTCTCATTCTTTCACTTCCTCTCATTTTGTGCCACAGTCAACAATGCCTCCTGCACAGCCACCATCTTCGCCCATGGAGCCACTGCTGCCTCTCCTGTGTTATTCAGCAACAAAACATGCTATGCCTCAGAGTCCTTTCTTGCTGCACTTTCCATGGTCTTCAGGCTATTCGTCCTCACATTAACAATGGAACCTGGAAGTCTTCCACCTACACCACTGCCCTGCTTCCTCCCAAGCTGATAACTCCTAGAGTTGTTCAGCCAGCATGGTCAATGTTAAAAATATTGGGAGTTGAAATCTTCATATATGGAAGATGCCCACACTAGGGAAATTTATTCTAGAGCTATCCATGAAGGTCATAGCTGGAATTATATTTTCTTGTTTCCTACCCATATTATGCAGTTGTAGCTTGCATCAACTTCAAGTTCAAAAATTTTAGCTCACGTTTTCTCTGCCTGAATAACACTTCATTGCTAGCAAGCTTGCATATTAAGATGCTTGTTTGCTTTCGAAATATTTTATTCCATTTCTTTTTTTTTTGGCATTTTAAGGAATCTGTAATCTAGACACTGATTTTTATGCCATTGTATCAGTACAAACAGAAGAAACGGATTGTCTTTTCTTTCAGATGCTTTAGATGTCTTGTGCAATTGGAATAAATTGGGTTGGGCTATACATGCTTTTAAAGTACATACCAATGGAGTATTTTAGTAGGCATATTGTAATTTATATCAAGGTTAGATATGTAGACTATTAATATATTTGTCTTTGTTTCAGTGGGTAGGAGCAAAGCAACATGAACTACAGGTAAATTCCATGCAGCTACTATACTATCAAGCACCAATGTCATGTGGCATGTTGCTGTGTGTTGTACCCTTCTTTGAACCAGTCTTTGGAGAAGGTGGAATTTTTGGCCCCTGGACTCTCTCTGCTATGGTAAATTGTTTATTTTTCTTCTTCATTCTATTTGTTCTAACTGCTCTTAAAATTTAACAAAAAACATTCCTGTTCAAATATAGGCAAATATAACCCTAAATTTGGAAGTTCTAAATTGAATCAGTGTTTCCCATTATTTAGTTGCTAGCCACTGAATTTTCAGTTGTGAGATATTACAACTGAAGGACTGCATGAAAAGATCATCCACTACTGAATTATTTTTTAAAATAATCTTTACTTTATGCATTAAGATAAATTAGTCCAACTAATAATGACTGCATATAGTATATTGCTTTTCAAACTTCTTCTGGCATTTGTTTGAAGGCACACAATGAAACAATCTTGCTTGATTGTGTCTTGATTGATTCATTTACATGTCTTGGTTAGAGGGACGGCCTGGGATATTCCTTTGTTCTTCTCTTGCCCTGAATTTTGTCTATTTTTGGCTCTTTGACAGCTTCATAGTAAAAGTTTTGGGAGCAGCAACAACAACAGAAACAACAGACAGCAAACAGATTACTTATGAGTAAACAGGCAGTGGATTGGGCCGCACACTGTTTTCCAAGAATAATCAAAGGGCTCCTTATTATATTGTTTTGGAAGAACAAAAAAGACTATACTACCATTAGGTTTTAATATTCTGATGGTTGGTCATTTATCAATTGTAATGGCATTCTTCCTGCTTAATGTTTATTTTTACTCCATACTTTGTGGGAACATATTTTTTTTCAAAATAAAAATTAACTTTTAATTTATATTTTTATCCGTGCATGATGTAATCGAAAGGTATAATTTATAACTTCTGTAAATGATAAATAAAACTGCTTAGGAGATGGTACTTAAGATATTCCTAGAAGTAGATATTGTGAAATATCAATCTATTGAACCCTTTTTATATAGTTTTGTTAACTTTTATACTCCGTATTTCAGCTTGCAATTAAATGTTCAAA